CAATATAGGGATTCAACAACTCTATATATTACTCAGTGCTCATCATGATAAGTGGAGTCTTGATGCCCATCACCTATTACACCCATCCCTGCACCCACCTCCCATCTGATAACCATCAGTTTGTTCTCTATATTTGAGTCTGTTTTTTAATTTGTTCTGTTTTGTTTCTTAAATTCCACACATGAGTGAAATCATAGGATAGTTGTCTTCTCTGACTGTCATTTATTATACCCTCTAAATTCATCCGTGCCATTGTAAATGACCAGATTTCATTCTTTTTTTATGGCTGAGTAATATTCCATTGTATCTGTATATGCTGTATCTTCTTTATCCATGTATCTATTGATGGGTACTTGGAAACTGTACCTCGTTGGCATATGTTGCTCCTTCCGGGGTGAATCTTTCTTAACTTCAAAAAAAAGTTTCTCCTTCTCCACTAGCATCTTAAGATGCTGGCGTTTTCTGAGTTCTTTCCTGTGTCCGCACCTTTCTTCTCTCTCTGCACAATCTCTCCTCCTCTGTGTATCCCTGACTTCCACTGCCACCCCGCCATTTCCCACATCCACATCTCTTTCCCCAGTTCAAGGTGTTCAGGGCAACCCCACACTGAACTCATTCTCTTCCTTCTTTAAATGTCATTTCCCTCCTCGTCCTTCCATCCAGTTGCCCAGTAGGAACCTGGGTGTTTTTGTTGCTTCCCTAACTGGCACCAAGTGCCAGCCGTGAGTTGCCCCATGCTGGCCATTGGGGATGCAGCCGTGTGAAAGCACATAGGGCCTGCTATGCTTGCTGCTGGTGGGAGACACACATATCGATCCATGATTCGTCCTAGGAAGGTAACAATCAGGGATCCTAATTTTGATTGGAAAGACTTTCCTGGAGAAGGACATTTCAACTGAGATCTGAAGAATGATGGCATATATTAATTAGGCAAATTGGGGCCGGGGAGCATGGTAGACAAAGTGAGAAGCTTATACAAGGGCTGTGTGGTAGAAAGAAAAATGTTTAGGAAGTGGCAAGGCAGTGGGCAGAAGGGCAGAGAAGGTGGGGAAATGTGGTGTTGGGTGAGGCTGGGGAGCCAGACGGGCTGGATGGTGCATGGCCAGGAAGGCGGGGGGTTACTATCAGTCTCTCTAGGCTCCTCCTTGCTGCTTAAACCCACCCCTTTTCACCAGATTCCTTCACTTTAACCCCTCTCCCATCCTGAAATCCTCATTGTTCACACATAGAAAATTAAAGTAGCCGCTTGCCACCTTCAAATCCATCTTCTGCACTGTGGTCTTAAGTGGGATTGATAAAATATAAATCTGAGTAAGTCAATCCCCAGGCTACAATCCTTCCCTGGCTCCCCATTTTCAGGACCAAGTCCTGCCCAGCTTTCTCACTTGTTAGCTCCCTCACTCCACCCCTCCCCCCACCTTCCTGCTGGCAGTTCCCAGAGTTAGGCGGCCTGTGCTTTGGTGCCTGAGTGCCCTTGACGCCTTTGTCTATACAGTGATATTATGCTACCTAAAGGGCCATAGCTCACCCACCACCTCCAGGAAGCCATCCCTCCAACACTCAGGCCATAGTGCTGGCCCCACCTCCTTCCCTGGATAATGCACACAGTACTGCGTTTGCTCCACGCGCCCCCCCTCCCCCCCGCCTTTGCTTGTTGATGTGTACCTCTTCTCTGCCAGACTTTGAACTCCTGGAGGGAGGGGACTATGGCTCCTTTATCTTTGTCCTCCTGATGCCATTGGGCTGGACACATATTAGATGCTACATACATGTTTTCTTGAAGACCTGGGGATGAAGGAATAAGATGGTATAAGCAGATGGTGAAAAATGAAGCTGAGTCAGAAGAGTCCTGTGTATAGAGATGATGGTTAAGAGGCCATGTTTCCATTACCTCCACGTCTGGTGTAGTTCTGTTTCTTCTAATGACCAAGCACAAGGCTCACTGTCCCCGCCTGCCACTTCTATCCATCCCAAAGGGCAGGTGCACCAGGGTGGGCAGAGTCAAGCCTAAATATAGTCAATCTTCTGGCAGAGTAGTTCTTAGACTGTAGAGTGCACCAGAATCACCTGGAGCGCTTGTTGAAGCAGAGATTTCTGGCTGTCCCCCAGTTTCTGATTCAGTAGGTCTGGGGTGGAGCCTGAGAATATGCATCTCTAACAGCTTCCCAGGTGATGCTGATGATGCTGGTCTGGGGACTACTATTCAAGAATTTCTTTTCTAGCAAAAGGATTTTCTCTAAAAATAATTACTCTCTATGGTGTTGGGAAAGGAGATACAGGAAGCTTTTTGCTTGAGTTTGGTTCTGTAGGTTTAAAAGGCCCATTAGTATGAGATTAATGTGGATAGATGGATCAGATTCTACATGCTTCCCTGCTTACCCTCCTCCTCTGTCTCCTGGCTTTCCCACAAAGCGTTTCTGTGTTCATTCATCAGCTATTCAGTGAATATGTTCTGAAGGTATAATACGTGCATGGCAACATATGAGGTGGAGTTGTTGTTATTAAGATGAAATTAGTATGAAACCTCTGGTATAGACATAACTATAATTCAAGGAGATCAAAGAAGAAATGCCTCCTCAGATGGGTAGTTCATTGTCCAATCAGTGGAATTGTCCCAGACATCTAGTTTTAGTGGGAATAAAACAATTTGATAGTGAGACCACATGACTATTAAGATCCGGAAATCCTGGGGATGACTGAGTTGCTCAGTCTGTTAAGCATCTGACTTTGACTCAGGTCATGATCTCATTGTTTGTGGGTTTGAGCCCCGTGTGCTGACAGCTCAGAGCCTGGAGACTGCTTCGGATTTTGTGTCTCCTTCTCTCTCTGCCCCTCCCCTGCTCATGCTCTCTCTCTCTCTCTCTCAAAAATAAGTAAACATTAAAAAAATAAAATAAAAAGATCCTGAAATTCTGTGATTAAGGATGACAGCGATAATTGACACAACATGGCACTAATGCTGTGGAATTTGCAGTAGGGAGGTCCCCAGAGTCAGCTGAGGCCTCCTCATGTAAATACTGGTATTATTGTCCTTATTTTTAATAAACATTTATTCTTCACCAACAGTGTGCTTGGTTACTTAGTGGATTTATATCCGATGACCCCATAATTTGCTGTTTATTGACCTCAGATCATTGAAAAGGTTGAATAGAAAAAGCCACAAGCAGGCCCAGAGTGCGCCTTGGGGGCCTCTTGAGGTCCCATTTCCCACATCAAATGAAATTGAGATGTGTAGTGCCATTTTATTTTTTTGAAATATTTACAAGAGAGAGAGAAAGAGAGGGAGAGGGAGAATGTTAACTAGCCAATTGTAGGACTGGAATTTATAGTCACTAGGCCACCAATTTGAATTTCAGACTTTCACCTTATTAAGAAAGTCCAACCAATTGCTGAATTCCATTGTATAAGGCTAAGGGTCAAAGTCCGTCTTTCAGGAGGGTCGAGCACTTAAGATGTGGCAGACCAAGCTGAAGCCCCTCGCCCCTCACTACCATTTATTGAGCATCTGTTATGTGCTGGGTACTGAGTAAGATACTTTACATACATTATTTATAATCCTTCAAGGTAAGTAGTACTATCCTCATTTTCAGATAAGAAAAAGGCACAGAGAGATCATGTATCTTGTCCAGTTTCACACAGCAAAATGCCTCAATACATTGTTGGAACTCAGCATAACCATAAAATTGAAACATGGTAAAAGATAGGTCAAAAATTATAGGTCTATTTCATCTGAGCATAGATCAAAAATACAAGATTAGAAAATAGAATGCAGCAGTATATCAAATAGATAATACACTCTCACCAAATGGAGACCATTGTAGGAATACAAGAGTGGTTCAATAATAGGAAACATTAGGAAATCAACATAATTCACCATATCAACAAACTGAAGGAGAGTCGTATACTAGTAGATGCTGAAAGTGTGCCTGATCAAATCCTCCTATAATAAAACTCAAAAACAGGAATATGAGGATCTACTTAAATTTGATAAAGACTAAAAATTAGCCACACATATCATTGTAAACAGTGAACCCCTAAATCCAACTTTGTTAAAAGTGGGGGTGGTCTATTCTTAAGCCATTTAGCTGGACTTCTGCTTCTCGGGTACTGGGCAGCCAACCATTGGAAGTGCCCCTTTCTTCTCCTGGGCCCCACGATGCCGTATTTATGTTGTGTGGTGCCTTTGTCTCAGACTGTCCTTGTGAGAGATTGTGCTTTCAAGGACACATTCCTAGAGTTTGGGTCTCAGAGACTTGGGCACCAAAGGCACAAGCTGTCAGATGCCACATCTACCAATGATGGCTTGGCCTCGTAGTTTTCATGGTGGAAGTGGAATGCATTTTTCTGGCACAAAATCACTGCATGATACATCAAAAATGTTTTCCATATAAAGCTTTTGCCAGAATGTAGTAGAAGGAGCATTGCATGGGAATCCAGGAGGCCTGGGTTCTAGAGGCTCTTGCCACAACCAGTTATGTGTTCCCAGGCAAATCATTTAGCCTTGCTGGGCCTTACTTGCCTTATCTGTGCCATGAGGTGTTGGATTGGATGGACTACCAGTGTTCTTTGACCTCAGTTATAATAATCATCACCCTTACCATGTGCCTGGCACTGTTATAAGGGTTCTGTATAGAGATGAACTTATTATCACAACAACTCTAGGAGTTAAGTACTAATATTATTCCTGTTTTGCCTCTGAAGAAACTGAGGCACAGAGAGGGTAAATGACTTGACCAGGGTCTCACAGATAGGAAATGATAGAGCTTTTAAACAGTTCAACTTCCATTCTTTACTTTTCTGGCTTTTCTTTACCTGGGCCAATGGTGTTATTGTGGTGTTGGTTCTGTCCAGCAGAGTAAAGGGTGTTGAGGGTGGGAGACGCTTTAAGGGAAACCCAGCTCTGGGGCAGATGGATGGGAGTCATTGCCTGGGAGAAGGACAACAGTGGCTGCAGAGGTTGCTAATATTTGCCTTTTCTCATCTTCCCTTTTCCTGTCTAGTCTGTGGCAAGCGCTACAAGAACCGGCCAGGACTCAGCTACCACTACGCTCACACTCACCTGGCCAGTGAGGAGGGGGATGAGGCTCAAGACCAGGAGACCCGGTCCCCACCTAACCACAGAAACGAGAACCACAGACGTGAGTTCCCAGTTGTTGGGCTGGGATGGTGATGAAGTGGGTGGGCAGGGCTGTAGAGTGTTCTTTCCACTTTGGTATCTTTGGTGGCACCCATTGATTGGTTTCAATGTCCTGTGGCGACTTGGCATTTTTAGCCCAGTCCCAGCTGCCCCATGGGTCATCTAAGCCCCAGGGTGGCGCACCCAGTTCTGCTCCCAAAGGAAGGTACAAGGGAAACATCCTTACCTGGCCATTGTCAAGTGCCAGACCTGCTCCTCTTTTCCCTCAGTTCTAGAAGTTTCATTCACAGGTACCACCCTGACTTGGGCATAGCCCTTGGGTATGTCAATTAAGATGGACATTCCAAATGTCTCCTTGGCCACCAAGAGATGTGGGATAGTCTTGATTTATTGCCTTGGCTGTTATAAGGGTCACAGTTTGGTCCAGGGCTCTCCGGTCTTAGAAAAAGAGTACCCTCGAGCCTGCATGCTTTCTACCTGAGCACTCCATCACGAAGCATAATCTGGGGGCACTTGTCAAAAACTCAAAATGGGGTGGCATGATGGAATCTTTGTTCACAAGATTTTGTGGTAGGTGTTCTTAAGGTGAACAATTCAATGCAATCAAAGGGATCAGACCTTTAAAAATATCCAGACTCTAGGCTCTGATGGTGGCTCCTGTTTATTTTAGTCAATCACCTTAGTCAATGGATGTCCATCGGCTGCCTTCACCAAATATTTGAAATAATTAACATACTTTGGCCAAGACCTTTCTTTGGATTCATGTTGGTTTTCCCTAACCCTCACCCTCCTTTCTTCCTATAACGTGGCCTTCTGTATTCATTTGCTCAGGCTGCCATAACAAAATCCCACAGAGTGGGTGGCTTAAGGAACAGAAGTTAATTTTCTCACCCTTTTGGAGGCTGCAAGTCCCAGGTCAACATGTCATTGGGGCTGGTTCCCCCAGAGGACTCTCTCCTTGGCTTGCGAGTGTCTGTGCTCTCGCCCCTCTACACATGGTGGTCCTCTGTGTTCATGTAGCCTGCTGTCTCTTAGCGTGCCCAAATTCCCTCTTGTAAGGGTACCAGTCAGATTGACTGATTAGGGCCCATCCTAACTTAATCACCTCTTTAGAAATGCCCTCTCCTTGAATACAGTCACATTCTGAGGCATGGGGGTGGTGGTGAGGGCTTCAGCAGATGCATTTTGGGGGACCCAATTCAGCCCATACTCCTTTAATTCTTACTCACTTGCAGGGTTCAAGTCTTTCATGTGTGTGACAGACCTTTATTTTCTTACCTGCTGCTGTCATCTGGACAGAACCAGGAAAACATGGCAGGAGTGTCTGACAGAGCTTGCCCATCTCCCCTCTCCAGCTTCTGAGTGATGCTGAGCGCTCACTCGCTCTCTCGCTCTCTCTCCTCCCCAGGGAGAGGTTCCGTTGGTCCAGTCACACTCACCTTTCAGAAAGGAACATGTATGGGGCAGCCGGCACTTGTGTTTCCCCGTCTCTCCTCTTATCCCTTCTCTGATCTAGGCGGCCCAGGTGTACCTATTGTCTTCTACCGCAAGGAGGCTGAGCATGAGCTCTTTCGATTTGGGTTGCTATCTGGAAAGTATTTACCAGCCACGGTTGCTCTGTCTGAAGTATTTGTTAACTTAGTATTATTTCCCACTCCCCCCCAGCGCTGGCTTATCCTCTTTACATCGCTTCTCAAATGTCAAGGCATTTCGTCCTTGTGTTTGTGGGGCTTTACTCACGTAATAGGGTTTGGAATGCTTCTCTTTTGTCTGTGTCTCTTTTGTGTGTGTGTGCATGGTGATGGCAACAGTAGAGGATGGTTCCTCGTGGTCTCCCGGGTACACGGCAGGTCCTGAGTAGATCAAGGAAATCTCTTCCTTAGCCATCCCTGCCGTCCCCCCACCCCAGCTTGCAGGCTATTGACCTCCAACATGGGCACTGCCGTAGCTTCCTCTGTCCACCAGGGTCTCCTCGCGTACTCTTGTGAGTCAGTGTCTTCCGTCTCCTCATGTCCTCACTGAGAGGCCAGATGGCCTTGCTTAGTCAGGATGCTGAGTCTTTCCTCCTCCAAGATGGAGATGTGTCCGCAGTCTGGCTGCGTGTTCTCTCTGGGGGCTTGTCAGTGAGCCTCTTGGCTCCAGCTCCCATCTACCCTTCTCCTCGACACCTGCTGATGACAAACTGAGTCCTTCAGAAAGGGTCCTCTGCTTTAAGCTGCGTAGAAAAGAGTAGCTGTCCCTAGGCTCACTTGGGGCCTCCTTACATGAGGAATATTCCAGAACCTTCACAAACACCTTTTGAACAATATCTCTTGACAGTGCCTCTGAGAATTCTGTGATTAGCTCCAGTTTTGCTAGCGAGGAGGAGGAGGGTGTGGCAGGAAGGCCCTTGGTGTCCACAGAAGCCATTCTTTCCCTCTGCCCCAATTTCTCTGAAGAAATCTAAAAGACAGCAGCTCTTCCCAGGTTCATCGTACCACGCACGCCACCGATCCGTTTGCTGCTCTGAATGTCTGCTCTGTTCCCTCCCACATTCCCCTGGTGAGCAGCCCCCCAACCACTTCCTCGTGAGCACTAATTGCCAGCATCGTTAATACCCAGTCATTAGCTGCTCTCACTGTTTGGGGTGGGGGTAGGCTCCCATCCATCCTGCCCCTAAATGCCACTGGGGCTGTGTGGTGAATTGAACGTGACAGCATCTGAGGTCTCAGCTTTGTGATCCTCCCTTGGCGAGGCTTTTGGAGTGGGGGAGGGAGGCAGGAGAGTTTAATCCAAGAGGCTAATCTGCAGATCCCCCAGGAAAAGTTCTGGATGCCAGCAAAGTGGGAATGCTGACTTTTCCCTCTCTAGCAGAGCCGCAGGGTGGCCCAGCTGCTTGTGAGCCCACACAGGCCCACAGGGAAAACAGCCCTACAGACTCAGGAGTTTTCCGTGGCATGGGTGTCTGCATTTGTACCACTTGCAGCGATAGAGACCTTTTGACTTTGGTCCACCTGCCGTCCCTTGCCGCACCCCCTGACTGTGTCTCCAGCCAAGCCATTGCTCATGCCTGCGCCTGCCGCTGCTGAAAGGGCAGAGTGGAGTGCTGGAGCCAGCACTGACCTCCCCTCGCCCCCCAGCCCCCAGCTGCCCTGTGCTGCCAGCTCAGCAATTGGCTGCCCGCACCTCCCGCCCCCAGCCGATGTTCTCTCGCCTCTGTTCCTCCCCTAGCCACTCATTTTCTCCTGAGTATACACTTCTTGTCTCTTCTCGAGGTTGGTCCCCTTTCCTTCGTGCCCTTGCCTCTCTGTCGCAACTATAGGCAGCCCTGAGATGCTTGGAGCTTCAAAACTCACCTTGGCACGTAGTACTTTTCTGTTGGAGTCTTCCCCACTTAAGCAGTTCTCCCTTCCCCTCCCCATGTGAGGCTACATTCCTCTTTCTTCTTGCATTTCTCTGACCACCTCTGTCTGCTTTTTAAAAATGAAATCACTGTGTGTATGTATGTGTGTGTGCACGCATGTGTGTGTACATACAGGTACACACACACAGACTACATGTGTGTGAGTACAAGGAGGGGGGGCTTGAGCAGGTTGGGACTTCATGTGGTGCCACTCAGAAGCATTCTTTTGTGGTGGTGCCTGGGTGGCTCAGTCAGTTAAGTGTCCAGCTCTTGATTTTGGCTCAGGTCATGATCTCATGGTTTGTGAGTTTGAGCCCCAAATCATGCTCTGTGCTGACAGCATGGAGCCTACTCAGGATTCTCTTTCTCCTCTTTCTGCTTCTTCCCCACTCATGCTCTCTTTCTCTCAAAATAAATAAATAAATAAATAAACTTAAAAAAAAAAGCAGAATTCTCTTTTGACTTCTGAAATGCCACCTTGGTAAACAGCCTCAGTGGGGCAGGGTAGCAGAGAGCACTGGATTAGAATTTTGACCCATGCTCACAATATCAAAACTCTTCTTGAATTTCCTTTAATCTTCTATGCACAGTGAGAATCTACTAAAGATGGTGCTCTCAAGGTACTTTTCTGTGAGGTTGGGTGGGTGTGGGCATTTATGAGGTTCTGGACTTGAATGGAAAAGCTGTAGAACTAAATTCAGTCTAATACATTCCTCTGTCTGTCCATCCATCTATCCATCTATTTATTGGTTTAGTATCCCTGTGCTAAATACGGTCTTAATCTCTGTCCTTGAGGGCTCACAGTCTTGTACCGGAGTGTGTAATGGAGCACATATAGAATTGTGAAGAGCAAAGGGTCAAGTGCATTGTACACTTTCTATCTCTTAGGGCAGTGATGCCCCAGGTTTGGAATCGGCATCACCTGGGAACTTGTTGGAAATGCGGATTCTTGACTCCAGGAGACCTGAAATAGAGATCCTGAGAGTGGGGATCATGATCTGTGTTTTAGAAAGCCTTCCAGGGCATTCTGGTGGCCACAAAAGCTTGAGAACCACTGCATTACGGGATTTGCAAAGGCTTTATTGAGAAGGTGACATTCAAGTTAGCTCTAGAAGAATGAAGAAGAATTTCCCAGGAGAGGGAGAGGGCTTCCCAGATAAAGGCAAAGGCAGGGGGGTATGAAATAGCATGATGCTTCAGACAAGGGCTAGTAGCCAACTCTAACAGTGGCATTGGAAGAATGGTGGGAAAGTGAGTGGGAGCCACTGTTGGAAGTGACTTCTATGCCAGGCTGTGTAGCTGTCATCCTGTATGAAAAGGAGGGCCACAGTAGCAATTACTAGAAGGCAAGGACAAATGACTTATAGAAAAATTTTGTTTGGCATATTATTAATTGTCACATGGAACATCTCTTTTACCTAATAGCTTAAATGAGTATCAAATGTTCTCTATGACATATATGGAGCTCCTAAAAGGAAAGTGCTTTTTAAAATATGGATCTATACAATTTTTTCAAGCCTGTTTCTCAGGTCCATGAAATGGAAGTTGGGTTGTCCTGGCTCCTGGGAGGTCTCAGTCTTCTGCATAATGATGGTGCGCCTGGCACATAGCTGGGCTTT